CCCTTACTACTCTCTTTACATCATCATTCCACCAATCGCTCCTCTTCCCTCCTGCACCCACTTTCCTGTAACCACAAACTTCTGCTGAACACTCTAACACTACATTTTTAAACCTACCCATACCTCTTCGACCCCATTGCCTATGCTCTCATTAGCCCATCTATCCCCAATAGCTGTTTATATCTTGCCCTAACTGCCTCCTCTTTTAGTTTATAAACCTTCACCTCTCTCTTCCCTGATGCTTCTATTCTCCTTGTATCCCATCTACCTTTTACTCTCAGTGTAGCTACAACTAGAAAGTGATCTGATATATCTGTGGCCCCTCTATAAACTGTACATCCTGAAGTCTACTCAACAGTCTTTTATCTACCAATACATAATCCAACAAACTACTGTCATTTCGCCCTACATCATATCGTGTAATACTTATTTATCCTCTTTTTTTAAAAATATGTATTACCTATAACTAAACCCCTTTCTATACAAAGTTCAATCAAAGGGCTCCCATTATCATTTACACCTGGCACCCCAAACTTACCTACCACAACCCTCTCTAAAAGTTTCTCCTACTTTAGCATTCAAGTCCCCTACCACAATTACTCTCTCACTTGGTTCAAAGGCTCCTATACATTCACTTAACATCTCCCAAAATCTCTCTCTCTCCTCTGCATTCCTCTCTTCTCCAGGTGCATACACGCTTATTATGACCCACTTCTCGCATCCAACCTTTACTTTAATCCACTAATTCTTGAATTTACACATTCATATTCTCTTTTCTCCTTCCATAACTGATCATTTAACATTACTGCTACCCCTTCCTTTGCTCTAACTCTCTCAGATACTCCAGATTTAATCCCATTTATTTCCCCCACTGAAACTCTCCTACCCCCTTCAGCTTTGTTTCGCTTAGGGCCAGGACATCCAACTTCTTTTCATTCATAACATCAGCAACATCTGTTTCTTGTCATCCGCACTACATCCACGCACATTTAAGCAACCCAGTTTTATAAAGTTTTTCTTCTTCTCTTTTTTAGTAATTGTATACAGGAGAAGGGGTTACTAGCCCATTGCTCCCGGCATTTTAGTCGCCTCATACGACACGCATGGCTTACGGAGGAAAGATTCTTTTCCACTTCCCCATGGACAATAGAAGAAATAAAAAAGAACAAGAGCTATTTAGAAAAAGGAGAAAAACCTAGATGTATGTATATATATATATGCATGTGCGTGTCTGTGAAGTGTGACCAAAGTGTAAGTAGGAGTAGCAAGATATCCCTGTTATCTTAGCGTGTTTATGAGACAGAAAAAGAAACCAGCAATCCTACCATCATGCAAAACAGTTACAGGTTTTTGTTTCACAGTCATCTGGCAGGACGGTAGTACTTCCCTGGGTGGTTGCTGTCTACCAACCTACTACCTACTACTACCTGTTTCTATAATTGTACATAAATCCATCATGCACCTGCCTCTTACACATTTTACATAAGGTGTCTTTTCTGTTTTTCTTGCATACCTTAGTGCGTATGCACCTGTTTGGTGGTGTTTGAGATAAGAATGACTGTATTGTCTCACATTGACCTATGTATGCATTACATATGGGGTTAAAGTTATCATTCTTAGCTACTAGACTGTCATTAACACCGTCACTTGTCTGTCTGTTTTGCCTCTGCACAATAGTTTGAGGTCCTGGATTAATTTGGATATCACCACTTACGAGAGCTACAATAAGAGCTGTGTGCCACTGTTTTTGTTGGGTATACGGTGTTGCCATACTTTGCAGCGATAGTGACATTTACGTTTCAGGTAGGATGGCATCTGTTGGGCTTTTACTGCCCAGGGTGCTATTACTCCATTTACCTTTTCCAGCCCCCATGACTGATTTTTCTTCATGGAATTGCAGGAGAAAGATAAATATAATTATGGCAGCCTGTACCCCCCCCCCCATGCCTGCCATTTTCACTCTTCATTCTTTTACTCGTATACAACAATATTTATTTCTCTTTTCCAGTCACCTAGCAAATCCTAGTAACTGCTTTAGCAATCACCACTGAATTACTAGTAAATTTTCTACTTCAAAATCCACTTCACTCCTCACTTATCCCTCGGGCTTAACTGCACAAACCCCTTTCACTTATCCTCTTATTTCACACTCCCCTTCCCGCCTCACTTCACAGTCCAGTTTCACCTATTACACTTCTAACCCCTTTCCATTCTGGCAGACCAGAAAGTTGTAATCAATGGCTTTATCCATCCAAATATCCCCTCAATTCCATTTATTGGGGGTTGTGTCGTGTTGTTGACTGCCTGACCTGACCTGCTATCTCAGCCATTTTTAAAAGCACCAAGGGAAGAAAATGCCACCTACAACCTGGCGTTTTCTCCTATGATTCTCTCACTGTACACTGGTCAGCTACTAAAACATTAACCTTGGCTGTTTAACTATTCACTTCTTTCCCACGATTGGCACTAAGGGATAACCGTCCTGTATGATAGTTTCCTTGGAGTTTTGTATTGTACATTTGATGATGTATCCTGTGTTTCCCTCTCGTTAACACTGGTGCAGGTGATATGATGGTGGTACAGGTGATATGATGCTACTGTCAGTACAGATGAACGTCATTGTAGACGAGAACTTCACTTCACTAATTGTACGTCTGGCAGTAGCTGGTGTTTGGATGCCGGTCATGCTATATTCTATGGTGTTTCTCACTTTCTTTACCACAGGAACTTTACTAGGAATTTTCTTTGAAGCCATAGTTACTTATTTCGCAGTTGCACTGCAAAAAAAAAAAATGGAAAACAAGCGAAATGTTTGGACGTGTGAGCAGAAGCTTCCTCACACCAAGAGACACAGCCAGACTGATGTGCAAGCGGCCCCAGCCAGCGGACGGACGTGTCCGAAATGGCCGTTCACCAAAATAATGGCCGATCACCGGGAGCCAAACAACCGGCTGATGACCGAGTTGGCCGATAACAGGAACAGCCAATATCCGAGGGTCCACTGTATTGAACTTCATATTGTATTCTGCAGCCCATTTTAAGATTTGATTGATGTCAGCCTGGAGTCTTGCAGTGCCTTCAATAGAGGACACTCATGCAAATTTGGGTGTCATCTGCAAAGGAAGACACAGTGCTGTGGCTTATATCCCTGTCTGTGTCTGATATGAGGAACAAGATGGGAGCAAGTACTGTGCTTTGTTGAACAGAGCTTTTCACCGTAGCTGCCTCAGACTAGTCTGTTGACTACTATTATTTGTGTTCTATTTGTTATAAAATTATAGATCCAGCTATCAACTTTTCCTGTTATTCCTTTATTTCATTTTGTGCGTTCTTTCACCATGGTCACACATGACAAAGTCTTTTGCAAAGTCTGTATATTACATCTGCATTTTGTCTGTCTTCTAGAGCACCCAGGGTCTTGTCATAGTGGTCCAGTAGTTAGGACAGACAGGAGTGACCTGCTCTAAGCCCATGTTGCCCTGGGTTGTGTAACTGATGGGTATGTAGATGGGTGACGATCTTGCTTCTTAGAACCCTTTCAAAGGTTTTTATGATATAGGACATTAGTGCTATTGGTCTGTAGTTCTTTGCTATTGCTTTAATGCCCCCTTTGTGGAGTGGGGCTATGTCTGTTGTTTTTAGCAGCTGTGGGATGACCCCTGTGTCCATGCTCCCTCTCCACAGGATGTTAAAAGGTGGTTCAAGGTTGCCCACAATTTGTACATTATTATGATTAATTTAAAAGGGGCAAAAGTTCTTTAACATTATGATTACCAAAGTGTGAGTTTCCAGTGCTTTTGTGTCTTGCATTGTAATCTCCAGGAATAAAAGTAGGTTCAGCCCGAAGACAAGTTGGAGGTTCCATATAATTAAACTTACCGGCAGGAGCACACAGATTACACATGTTGAGAAGTCAGTATTCTTGTGTAACAGTAGTATGTTGTCAGTCCATTAATTATTGCTAACACACATTGCCTGGATTTAAGGCAGAGTTCAGGGATATGCAAAGTCAGTACGTATTTCATTTTAGGACAGAATTATCATTAGCAACAGTAGGCATTAACTTGAAGGAAGATAAATCAAAAGTGAGTGTTTAACGACCCATTAGAGTTTAGCTCATATCTTTCATTGTATAATAATAATATTGTACAAATAGTATTGTGTATCACAAGAGGTTGTATAGACAATGAGGAGATGGTAATGGTCAACATTTTACCCACCCACTTCTCCGCATGGCCATTGAGTATGTAGTACTTTGGATATTCATTGAACTACAAAAGGACAGACACACACATGACCACAACACCCTTCTTTTCAAAATGAATAGTAATAAAGGTCACACATGCTATTGTACTTTTCCAAGTATTGTGACTTGTACTGATTTAGTGCATATTTTTTTAATGTAATAGCTTGCACAAGAATAACTAGTTTGACCAATTTTGGCAGTTAGCTACATTTATCTCCTCATTCTAGTTCATTCTTTTTAGTTCATTTTGATCCACCTTGTTATATCTTCTTAGTGTTTATACATTATAATTGTAACCAGATATAAACATGCAAATAGTTCATTACTGCTGTAACTTGTTTAGCTGTTAAATCTTTGGGGCCCTTTATGTGCCTCTGTAATCTTGTGACTACCACCCACACCTTGGGTATAGTGCATTGTGAAGGTATTTAACTAACTAGTACATATATAGTGTTTTAAACATTTTGACCATGTCCTTTTGCTCATGCTTGCCTTTACTGTTGTGGGTTTAAATTTGGGTTTGTAGGATGGTTAAAAGGGACGGGCCCTTGATACTGATTAGGGGCTCTATATCTAAAGGATTGGACCTTTACTCCCCTTCCTTGGATTGAACCTGAATGCCTCCAATTCCCCCAGGCACTGTATATTCCATAAAGATTTTGCACTCCCCCATGAATGTAATTTGATACAAATTTGAAATGTATAACAATAGTCATTGAAAATAACTTTTTCTAACTTTTTTATTTTTATCTAGGTTGTTTCAAATGTGGTAAAGATGGCCACATGGCTAAAGATTGTTTACAAGCTGCACCTGGAAAGGAAGATGCAAAAGAAAAACCCCGTGTACCTACTTATATACCTGTAGACCTAGACAGTGACAAGCTCTTTGAGGTTAAGATGGGAATTGGGAAACACTTCCATTATTATGATGACATGCCAGTCAAGGTGAGTTGTAAATTGGTCTGTTTATATTAAGGATGGTTTATGCTTACTTTCTTTTTTGGGTAACTACCTCCCACTGAAAAAGAACATAGATATATTTACAATAGTAGTAGTTATTAGCCCCTTGCTCCTGGCATTTAGTCTTTTACGACACACATGGCTTATAGAGGAAGGATTTTTCTCCATTCTCTACTTCCCCATAGAGTGAAAAGAAAATCAGAACATGAATATTAAACTAATGTGTATTCTTCTTTCAACAAATTGGCCATATCCCACCAAAGCAGGGTGACCCAAAAAGAAAAAAAAGTACTAATGTATATGAAGCAAATAAAATTGTAACAATTTACATGGGAATAAGAAAACCTAGATTATATTGTATTAAGATTATTCTGTTAATTCAAAACAAAATTCTAATAAAAATTACAATAGAAGTGAAACTAGTTAAATCTATTACAGACTGTGATGAGATAGTATTTTACATGTATGTATACAGTAATACATTGCATAATGCAGTTTTGAGTAGTACAGGTTTTGATACATAGTTTATAAATTGAATAATATGAATTTTATTTAACTTCATTATGCACCAATATTGGACTGCTGCTATGTACCGGACTAGCGTGATGCGAACATAAGTATTGCTCCAGACTCTGAGCAGTGAAGTTGTGTAGTCTTGTGCAGTACATACGTGTACACATTGTCAGATTATGATTCAAGCTAAAGCAACAAGTTTCTATTCAGTGTTAAAAAAAGAGAAATGGCAGTGAAGAAAGTTTTTTGGTAAGTTGTGGCTGTTTTAAAACTTCAAAAAGTGCACAGGACACTATAATGTTCAAATTACTGGTCAAGGTGCCACTGCAGATTATGAGGCAGCTGCAAGATGTCCTAATGATCTCAAGAAATTGATTGAAGAAAATGGCTATAAAGATGAGCAAATTTTTAACGTAAATGAAACTGGTATATTTTTGAAGATGATGCTGTCCTTCACTTATTTGGCGGAAAAAAAAAATCAAGGGAAGTTCCTTGACGCTGGTGAGGGGCTCTTGATTTAAGGAATTGGATCTGTGCTCCCATTCCCTGAATTGAGCCTGAATACCTTCCGTCCTCCCCCTTCACAGGCACTGTATAATCCCTATGGGTTTAGCATTCCCCAATTTGGCAGAAAAGAGAATCTTCACATTCTGACGACATTGATGTACAACACTTGTGGAAATGGATCAGCAATGTTTATATGAACAGGAAAATCAAGAAGAAATGCTGTGCCTACAAACTATTTTTGGATGAACTTTTTTTTAACATGTGGGCCATCTCCCACCAAGGCAGGGTGACCCAAAAAAAAAAAAAAAAAAACTTTCACCATCATTAATCTTAAGTTAATTTTAAGCCTGCCCACAATGCTCTGCATACAAGGGGCTTTTAGCATGTACACTCAACCACTGTATTTCTTTTGTACAACTATGTATCAAGTCCAAATAATAATAAATAGATAAATAAATAAATAATCACTGTCTTTGCAGAGGTGTGCAGATAAGACAGTTCAGATGTCTTCCTAACAGCATATATCCCAAACCCCTCCTTTAACCCCTTGACTGTTTCAGTCGTATATATACGTCTTACGAGCCACCATTTTTGACGTATATATACTCATAAATTCTAGCAGTTTTAAATCAAGCAGGAGAAAGCTGGTAGGCCCACATGTGAGAGAATGGGTCTATGTGGTCAGTGTGCACCATATAAAAAATCCTGCAACACGCAGTGCATAATGAGGGGAAAAAACTCCAACTTTTTTTTTTTAATTGCCGACTTTGTGGTCTATTTTCGTATAGTATTTATGGCTGTATTCTCATTTGATAGAATGGAAAACATATTATAGAAATAGAGGTGATTTTGATTGGTTTTACTATGAAAAGAACCTTGAAATGGAGCTCAAAGTAGGGGAAATGTTTAATTTTTGCCGATGTTCAAAAGTAAACAAATTGTCATTTTCCAATAAATGTCCAAGTAGCCATTCTAATATGCAGTCCTATTAAACCGAGTATCAGGTTACTGGCAGTCTTCTTATCACCAGTGTCGAGGTTGGGAGACTACTCTCTCCCGTCTTCGCATTGGCCATACTCGTCTTACTCGTGGAGAGGCACCCTGCTCCTCTGTGAGGATTGCCAGGCTCCATTATCAGTCAGCCACATTCTGTTGGACTGCCCACTTTATCAACGAGCACGCAGA